TTGACAACTTCAATCCTTTCTCCATTGATAAGAATGTTGTTTATTGGTCCAGTGGTGAGGATTTTTGTTTTCTTGACATTGAGATGCAATTCTTCTATAGTCTTCTTTATTTATTGACCCACTTAAAGTCACAGTACTTTCTATCAAACTACAGTATGAAATTATTACAATGACAACTATTACTAAGAGTTCTGGAATGGGTAAATAAAATCCCTAGCACTTTTTGAGGAAGTCAGTGAAGGCCCTATTGCTTGAGAAGTAGTTGAGGCTCTCAATGATTTAGAATTTTAAGGGAATACAGTCCTGGTGTGGCGCTGTGGGTTAATGCGTTAGACTGCAATGTCGGTTTGAACTGTAAGGTCAGCAGTTCAAGCTCATCAGCCACTCCTTGGAAACCCCATACAGGGTTGCTATGAGTTGGATTAGACCCCATGGAACTTCACAACAACAACATCAACATTATTGATAACCCAAGTGGTAATGGTCATGTGCCATGGAGTTGGTCCCGACTCATAGCGACCCTGTATAGGGTTTCCAAGGCTATACATCTTTACAGGGGCAGAAAGCCTCATCTGTCTTCCACAGCAGCTAGTAGATTTGAACAGTTAATTTTGCAGCTACTAGAGCTTCTATTGATGACCCAAGAGGCAGAAGCAATGTTTCCTTGAGCTCTAGCATTACATTGCTTATGTGGTCAATGTGAATGTGACTCATCCCTTTCACACTTTGATGACTTGTATTTGAGTTTATGGAGTCTTAACAACAGCAATTTGAGTTTGTAACTGACAATTAGGGTGGAATGGAATGGGGTGAAGGGTGGATGCTGCTATTATTTGTATTTTCACAATAAAAATAATCATTTTAAAGCACCTATTATGATTTGTGGAGTCCTGGTGTGATGCTGCAGAATAATGCACTGGACCACAAGGTCTGTTTGAACTGCAAGATCGATGGTTCAAATCCACCAATCATTTCTCAGAAACGTTCTACAGGATGGTTATGAGTTGGCACCGACTGGATGGTACTTAACAACAACAACTATGATTTGTGGGAAGTCCTGGTGTGGCACTGTAGGATAAGTATTCCACTGCAATGTCAGTTTGAACCCCAAGGTTAGTGGTTCAAATCCACCAGCAGCTTCTGGAAACCCTATACAGGGTCCTATGAGTCGAACCAACTTAATGGCACTAAACAACAATGATTTGTGGGAGCGTGGTGGCTCCAAATGATAAGCACTGGACTGCAAGCCACAAGGTCTGTGGTTGGAGCCTAGTAGCTGCTCCACAGAAGAAAGAAGAGGCTCTCTGCTCCCAGAAGATAAAAAGCCTGGGAACCCTATGCAGGGTTAGAGCTACTGAGTCGCAACAACTTGATGGCCCATACAACAACTATGATTTGCACTAATCCTCTTCTGTGGACAAATTCACAATTATATCATTGTTGTTGTTATGTGCCCTGTAGGTAATACTATTATCTCCATTTTACAAAGAAATAAGCTGCAACAATAAAATTATGTAAAACTGTAAAATTAGGAATACACGTCAAGCGTAAAACACTGTCAACTATCTCCATTTTTATATAAATATTTTATGCTGGACTCATCAACCAGCAGTTCTATTGAACAAATATTTGGTTATCAGACATAATCAGGCACATGCACAAACTAGTTTCCAAGGTACTTTTGAACAGGAATGAAATTTACGCTCTTTTAATTCTTTCTTTCTGTAACAGATAATAAAAAGCTCAGTGTTGAATTCTTAAAAACATATTTTATTTTTATTTACCGTTAGCTTATGATGTAACGTATTACCATTTCAAAAGTATAATTTATTCAATATGGTAATGAGGTTGAAACATTATGTATTTGGATAGCATCATTTGCATTATGTTCTTGTTATACATTTAGGCATCAGTAACATTCATCATTCATTATTTTAAAGTGTTGAAGAGCAAAGATGTCAGCTTGAGGACTAAGGTGTGCCTGACCAAGCCATGGTATTTTCAATAACCTCATATGCATGCGAAAGCTGGAGAGTGAATGAGGAAGACTGTAGAAGAATTGATGCTTTTCAGTTATGGTATTGGAGGAGAATATTGAAAGTGCCATGGGCTGCCAAAAAACCCAACAGATCTGTGCTGGAAGAAGTGCAGCCAGAGTGCTCCTTGGAGGTGAGGATTCGGAAATACTGTCAGGCAGGACCAATTGCTGGAGAAGGAGATCATGTTTGGTAAGGTGAAGGGTCAGAGAAAAAGAGGAAGACCCCCAGCGAGATGGAATGGCAAAGTGGCAGCATCATTGGGCTCAAGCGTGGCAACAATTTTGAGGTTGGCCCTGGATCGCGCAGTGTTTCGTTCTGTTGCGCATAGGGTCTCTATGAGTTGGTATCGACTCGATGGCACCTAATAACAACAACATTCATCATTAGTGAAGGCCAAGGCTATGCATATAAAGCTATATTTAGTCCTCCTGGCGTATTACTCAGAGTTATATGCTCACTGAATGTTTGCCGAGTCCTTTATGACGCGGATAACTATCATTTATATTGCCAAGGGCAGAGGCACATTTACTACTTATTCATGCAGGATTGTGCATACATGAAACCATTCATGAATTACACAAAAGCATAGTGACCTACTGTAGCCAGCTTCTCATCTCAACCATATATCCTTTGTCCTCTTGAAACTTCTACTATTCTTTTGCCAAATTTATGTAAGTTTGTGGAACGCCCATTATCTGCATAACTAAGCCTCCAATGAGAATGTTGGACAAAAAAAAAAAAAAAGCCTCCTGCTATGGGTGAGCGTTGTTATGCGCCTTCCAGTAGGTTTCGACTTTAGAGACCCTTCACAGGGTTTTCCAAGAAGTGGCTGGTGGATTTGAATCACTGGTCTTGAGTTATCAGTCCAGTGTTTATCCTGCAGCGTCAGTTTTTTCACTAGATTATCAGAAACGAAATTTGGAAAATAATTTGGACCGTTGATACAATTTAGTAAACTTGATATTTGGTCACAATCCCCAAATTCCATCAGTGTAATTCCCGTCAATCAACTTGTCTGTAGGCGAGACCATCATAAAACTGTCTCTTTAACTCCTGGGAGGAGGGGGCACTTGACGAAAATCCACAAACGCGCATGCGTTCCCCAAGGGAGCCAGGCAGTGAATGACCCTGAGAGGTTGCCGTCAGATTAGACGTCGCGCGTGCGCAGGCGCTCGGCGTAGAGGCCTGCCGGAAGCCAAAATGGCGCTTAGGTGTTTTGCGGACTGTAGTTGGCGCCTTATCAATATCTGAGCTGCGTGTTTTGCTTGGGCCAGTTCGGAACGCCCCCCTTTGCGGCCATGGCCCGGCATCGGAATGTTCGAGGCTATAACTACGATGAAGGTAGGTGATAAAACTATGCCGGAACGTCATTTTTGCTGTTCCAGCCGTGATCCCAGCCCGTTGGCATCCACTTCGATCTGTGAGTGCCAGACTGGAATTTGGGGGAAGCCGATTCGGGGAACACAGCAGGACATCTGAGTGCAGGCGAATAACGAAGTCTTACGTTCTGACTTCTTGTGAGATTAATTGACCATGTTTGTGTGTTATGGCGGGGGAGGTGCTAGACAGCGTTAACTGGAAAGGACTTTTGGTTGGGATCCGGTGATAATTATTCATGCCAGCTTATCACCTTTCCCTCCTCCTATCAGCCCTTCCCTCCCAGGTCGTGCGCACACGTGGCTTTCCCCTCGTGTGACTCTTTTATAAAAATGCCCATTAAACGTTTAATGTTTAATTTAATGTTTACATTCAAATGAGTTGGTGTAGTTTTATTAGATTTACATGGTCTGTCTTTTATGTGTATTCATAAATTTACTGTAGAACTTGGTATGAGCTACCTGATTAATTTGTTTTTCTTGAGTCTGAAGTTAAAGACTTCTTAGATCAAAAGATACATACTAAAAGGCCCAAAGAATGTAGCAATCAGATGATCTTGAAGTGTATACTCAAGTTTTGGCTGATATACCCAATGTTTAGGAGTCCTGGTGTGGTGTTGTTGGGTTAATACGACAGACTGCAAAGCCCTTTGAACTGAAAGGTTGGCAGTTCAAGCTCAACAGGAAACCCTATTCAGGGTCGCTGTGGGTTGGAACTGACTTGACAGCACTTCACAACAACAAATCAATGTTTATATAGTAAAGAAAATAAACAGTACTGGAATAAAGAGGATATGGAAAAGGATGTTTTCATTAAAAAACACTTGAATATATTCTGAGTTTGGAGTAGTTTTAGAACAAACCTGTGTATACACTAATTAAAGGCATCACCAAGCATCATACAAACTAAAAATATTAATACATATAAACTAATACAGAAGAAGATTAAAGAACTATTGTTTTGTAAAGTACAGAGCACAAACTAGTACTTAGTGATGTTAGTGGGTACTGTTGTTACCCCAGTATATTATTCTTGTTAACATCAGAATCCTTAAACCATGTTGTCATTAGGTGTCATTGAGGCGATTTGACTCATAGTGACCTTAGGCACACCAGAACGAAACACTGCCCAGTCCAGCGCCATCCTGAAAACTGTTGATAATGCTTCAGCTCATTACTGCTGCCACTGTGCCAGTCTATATCGTTGGGGTCTTCCTCTTTTTTTGCTGACACTCCACTTTACCAAGCATGATGTCCTTCTCCAGGAACTGGTCCCTCGTGATATGTCCAAAGTATGAGAGACAAAGTCTTACCATCCTGGCTTCTAATGAGCATTCTGGCTTTACTTCTTCAAACATAGATTTGTTTGTTCTTCTAGCAGTTATGATACTTAGTATTCTCCAACACCATAACTGAAATGCATCAATTCTTCTACAGTCTTCCTTATTCATTGTTCAGCTTTCACATGCATATGTTAAGTGTTGTAGAGTCAGTTCCAACTTACAGTCACTCTGTGTGGGTTTTCCAAGGTGTGACTGGTGAGTTTGAACCACTGACTTTGCGGTTCAAATTAACCTTATAGTCTTATGAGGTTAATGAAAATACCATGGCTTGGGTCTGGCAAGGGCAACTAACACACTGAGTTGGAGGCTGATCTAGTCAGACTGTATGTTAGGTTTCTGGTGTTCACTTCAGACCTGAGGCCCCTTTTTTTTTTTCAATACTTTTTTTTTTTTTTCCCTTAAATGTTTTATTGTGAATTATGTGATAGTTTACATGGGAGAACATTAGTTTTACATTCATTCTATCGTAGTCTCATTGCCGTGGTTACAATCCCCTCCATTCAATCCTTCCCCCGTAGCCCTTAGGTCTTCAGCACACAGTCACTCTCCCTCTCTGGATCTAAAGTCTCCAGCTGCTCCATGGCTCCACGTCATCATCTCTGCCTACATTTCAGGCATCACTGCTTCTCTGGGTAGGGTCCCACTCTCTGCCCTTCTCCCTTGATGGTCCTAGGGACCTCCGCTCCTAGACTGAAAAGTTAATCACTCACCTCCTTGCTATAAAATGTCTACCGTTTACATTTCCAACCCTCACAATCAGTCCTGATAACAATTATTCACTATTGTATCACAAGAGACCCATTTGCATTTCATTGCATCAGCCCCACCTAGTCAGATTGAATAATACTCAGTGGAGATTCTACCTTCCTCCAGGCCCTCTGGATCTAGGTTCCCTCTCGAAAGCTTATAAACCAGTCACTTCTTGCCTTTGTAGCCCCTCTCCCACCCCCCCCTCCCCATTTTGGGTAGCCAGTGTCCAAGTTGCCCATCCCTGTCTACTCTGTGTGTGGAGGGGGTGGGAATGATTCTTGCTGTAAGGACTTGTTCCCTCTTTTGAGCTACTGCTTCCATAGGTGTAGGTCAAGTTCATCAAATTGTATGAGAATACTTTTTTTTTTTCTCCTCTTCTTTTTACTTCTGGTTGAGCTCTGAGCATTCAGTCATTGAAGTCAGGTCAAGTGGGTATTATCTGCAAGTATGGGTGTTCTTATGCATGTGCCCTCTCTTCTTATCAGCTGGACGCTTCACTCTCCACTCTAATCCTTTGTGGCTTTGTCACTGACTCTGGGCCCAAGAGTCCCCAGGTCTTGCCACACTGCTGGCCAACCAGGTCTTCACCCGGGTTCATTGAACGTTGTAGGGCTTAGCTCACTGCTTAATTGCTGTTTTTCCCTCTCTTCCCCTTATCGATGTCGAGCGTGGTCACCAGTCACAGCGTGTATTCCCATTGAGTCTTAGTCTTGGAAGGGGGTTTGCACTGAGGGGACCCGACCACTTACCTTGATGTGTCCTGGGCAAGCAAGTTGCTTGTTCTTATAGTAACAGTCTGTCTGCCTATGTTGTTTTATATTTTTCCTGTAGGTCTTTCTTTCAAGAAGTATCTTCTGTTCTTGTAGCCACTCCAGGTTGGTCTGCTTGTCCTTTCAAGTGGGAATTTCCCATCTCTGGAGATCTGGATGTGGTTCAGGCTTCCACCTATAGTCTTATGTATTGCAGAGGCTCCAGAGGCCTTTTAAAGTTGAATCTAAGTATTGCTGTGGACCACTGTCATCAGAGAAATAACTTTAGACCAGGATATGTTTCTGCTGTTGTAAAAAGGCCATGGATGTGTGGGTGCTGTAGGATCAGCACTGGACTGCGAACCACAAGGTTGGCACTTCAAACCCATCAGCTTCTTGGAAACCCTATACAGGGTCCCTATGAGTCAGAACTGACACTCAATCGCATGACACTCAACAACAACAACAACTGCTGTGGACCACTGTCATCTGAGAATTGGCTTTAGACTAGGAGATGTTTTTGCAGTTATAGAAAAGGACATGGATGGGCCTAATTAGCACTCATTCATTCTTAGTTGTTGTTAAGTGCCGTTGAGTCAATTCAGACCCATAGCGACCCTGTATAGGGTTTCCAAGGAGAAACTGCTGAGCTTGAACCACCGACCTGTAGTTCAAATGACTTTGCAGTCTGGCACATTAGCCCACAGAGCCACACCAGGACTCCATTCTTTCTTGGTTGTTGTTGAGTGCCAACTCGGTTCCTACCCATAGCAACCCTGAACAGGGTTTCTGAGGCTGTAAATCTTTACGGGAACAGAAAATCTGATCTTTCTCCTGCGGAGCCGCTGGTAGTCTCGAACTGCTGACCTTGTCGTTCGCAGCCCGATTGGTAACTACTACGCTACCAGAGCTCCTTTTTTAGTAGACATCATTTCCTCAACCAGCGCTAATTGTCCAGCCAGTGCTCTAAGCTTTGGAGACTGACAGTAAGATACTTGAGGGTAATTTTATGAGTGAAATTACAATGTTAGAGATTCTACAGGAAAATACATAGTGATATGGGAATTATTTAAGTTATGTAAACTAAGACACTGAATTCCGAATGCTTTGAGGATTTAAGCAGGGATTCTGTGTGAAGGAAGGCTTTCTGGAGGAGGTGGAGCCTCACCTGAAGGAGCCTAGTGCTGAATGTCTTCTCACCTTGGCCTCTGAGCTCAGGGTGATTGTTGTCATGTTATCGTGGAAACAAATGGTGACATCATAATCAAGCTGTTTCTAGAAAAGAGGAAGTTTATCCCTTTTTCTTATAACAGTTCTACTCATCTTCAAGGTCCAATTCATTTCTTCTTCCCAGTTAAACTTTCTCAGGGACTCACAATAATGAAAAATTTCTAAAAGTAATATAACTTCAGTACGGAAAGTGTAAGGATATAGAAATGAAATTACCCGTTTAAGCTACCCTGATGTAACCACCATTCAGAATTCATCTTTGTGCTCCAAAACCTGTCGTCTCTCTCTTTTACTCTCAGCTGTTGTTTTTTTCTGCAAGACGGATTTTACTTGACATGTTGTTAAGTGCCATCCAGTCTGTTTTGACTCATAGCTACCTTGTATATGGTTTCTGAAGCTGTACCTTTTCAGGAGCAGCTGGTGGACTTGAACTGTCGACCTCATGGCTCTCAGTCTAGTCCTTATCCTATAGAGTACAAAGTAGGGACTTGACATGTAGTAAATGCTCAAGTACTACATTTGGTTGAAGAAATTAACCATTTTATAAAGATCCTAGGAAAGCATTCTATCTTTATATGGATCACATTTTAGGAGCAATTTTTGTATTGACAACTGACCAGCTGAAAACAAGTCTTGTGTTTAATGCTGATTTTATTTTTGGTGTCTGTGAATGGTCCATGTATAGCCTGCCCTCTATAGCCACAGGTTCCAGAAGAAAAAAAAAAAGGTCCGGAAAGCTCTCCAAAGCGAAACTTGCTTTAGCTGTGCGCAGAGCTCTATCCTGGGAATCACGTGAGGAGTACGATGGTGGAGACTGCCCGTCTCACAGATCTCAGTCTCACTGCAGCACCAGCTGAGCACTGTTTGCTACACATTTTATTTGCTCCTTGTGT